GTATGCCAGTATGTACACTAGCTGGATCTACCACTACCAGTGGTAATACAGAATACCAGGATGTACACTAGCTGGATCTACCACTACCATTGGTAATACAGAATACCAGGATGTACACTAGCCTGATCTACCACTACCAGTGGGAATACAGTATGCCAGTATGTACACTAGCCTGATCTACCACTACCAGTGGTGATACAGAATACCAGGATGTACGCTAGCCAGATCTACCACTACCAGTGGTAATACAGAATACCAGGATGTACACTAGCTAGATCTACCACTACCAGTGGTAATACAGAATACCAGTATGTACACTAGCCTGATCTACCACTACCAGTGGTAATAGAGAATACCAGGATGTACACTAGCCAGATCTACCACTACCAGTGGTAATACAGAATACCAGTATGTACACTAGCCTGATCTACCACTACAAGTGGTAATACAGTATACCAGTATGTACACTACCCAGATCTACCACTACCAGTGGTGATACAGAATACCAGGATTTACACTAGCATGATCTACCACTACCAGTGGTGATACAGATTACCAGGATGTACACTAGCCTGATCTACCACTACCAGTGGTAATACAGAATGCCAGTATGTACACTAGCCTGATCTACCACTACCAGTGGTGATGCAGAATACCAGTATGTACACTAGCCTGATCTACCACTACCAGTGGGAATACAGTATGCCAGTATGTACACTAGCCTGATCTACCACTACAAGTGGTAATACAGTATACCAGTATGTACACTACTCAGATCTACCACTACCAGTGGTGATACAGAATCCCAGGATGTACACTAGCCTGATCTACCACTACCAGTGGTGATACAGAATACCAGTATGTACATCAATGTGATCTACCAGTGGTAAATTGGTATACCAGTATGTACATCAATGTGATCTACCACTACCAGTGGTGATACAGAATACCAGGATGTACACTAGCCTGATCTACCACTACCAGTGGTGATACAGAATACCAGTATGTACATCAATGTGATCTACCAGTGGTAAATTGGTATACCAGTATGTATGTCTGATATATGTAAGTGGTAATATAGTTTATTATATGACTCGTGCTAATTCCCAGCCCTGATTGGAGGAGCGATGTCATGTGACGAGTCTGTTAATATGTTACAGACCTCGTTCTATGAATAGAAAAGTGTTGCAGACCTCGACCTATAAATAGAAAAGTGTTACAGACCGCTTCTAAAAATAGAAAAGTGTTACGAACCGCTTCTAAAAATAGGCCTAGGTAATTTCCCAGCCAGTCTGTAATTCTGTTACCAATCACACTACTGAATTCAACTAAAATGAATTATCTCATCAAATTCTGAACTATGTGAATATTAATGATGTCGATTGTACAAATAATATTTACTTAAAATCAAATATCACATGAATTGAATCGGAAATTAAATTTGTGTGTATGCTATTTTGTATTTGAAGTCCTTCACTCTGTGATTCCAAAATGGTCCATGCCATCCATGTGTTTATGACATGAAAAATTAATAATCTCATTATAAAATGTCATATAATAAGACAATTGTGGACTTCAGTCTCGGTCTATCTATGATTTACGGACCTGGTCTGAAAATAATATTGTTCAGACCAGGTCCGTAAATCAGGGATAGACCTCACCTGAAGTCCATAATTGTATAATGTGTGTACCTGTCTGTCCTGATGCAATAACATAAGAACCCAGCAATTAGTATAAGGAGAACAATCTTTTATTCCACATGACAGTTACAAAGCAGTGGGAAGACAATCAGTCCGTCTACCTAACCTGCCTGTCTATATACCATGTGTAAGGGGTGATGATCTTCCCTGAGGAGTTTGTAAACATATAGATGTACAGCCGATCAGAACCTTACACATGGCCTATCTCACATCTATGTGTATAACTGTCTTCTTACTAGGTCTTGATGGGTCATTAGTCCAGGTGTGACTAGCCGTGGTACCTCGTTAGTACAGGTGTAGCGAACACCCTTCTTGAGTCAATAGGAGCATCAGAATGAAGTGGACAGTAAGCTAATAGACCCATAGAGCAATGTAAACTTGTCTTAATTACTGTGTTGAGGTCCAGCAGGTCTGATATCAAGTTAACAATGGTGTCTGTCACTGAGGATTTCTCTGTAGCATGATCACTGGAGATTCCTTCTGTCATGCTTATGATGAGGGTTGCTTATCTTAATTTTGCTCCTACATATTTTGGCGGGCAGCTGGCAGGATGATGTCTGTGGAATATACCACAAGTATTAGTACTAATGTAAAGATACATAGAAAACAAACTAAACTGGAACCTTTATTTGTGTTGCATCCAAGATGTTGTCTTTCATATGAAAGTTATTGAGCCATGGATGGTAGCTAATCTGGGACTGTTTTTCTACCATAACATGCGTCTGTTTCACCTTTCTCAGCATGCACAATAAATAGCATTGTGAATGATTGAACATGTTTGATATATACCACATGTGGTATACCTGTAAAAGCTGGAAGCATTTTCATTGGATGAAAGCTTTGCAATGTCATGCTCCAAATTTCGATGCATTGTGAGGTCAAAATTCCTTTAGGGTTGAACACTGAAATCATGCCAAAATTTTGTTTTCCTAACATAATATGAATGTACCTGTATACATAGATTCCCCAACTTGTGAATCAGATAGTTGCCTGCTAAAACTTGTAGATTGTACTTTAGAATGAACACAGATATAAAGCACAATGATACTTCACTTATTGGTCATCCTCTAAGAATCAATATGATATCATTAACTTCAAACAAGGTTCTGGTACCATGGTTAGGTCAGAAAATGATTTACATACATGATAGGTAGAATGGGTGTCCATAATAAAGTCAAAGCCTTGAACATACATAATAGGTAGTGTAGGTTGATAGGTCAGGTCAAAGATTCCAACATACCAGGTATTGTAGTGTGGATCGATGGTCAAATCAGAGTTTGTTGGTTAACAGACACAACATGATACTCTCAAGCATGCATGGAAGGTAGTGTGGGTTGTTGTGGGTAGTTAATGTTTGGTAGTTTAAGAATGACACCAGTCTATACTCTCAAACATCGGTAGGGTAGCGTGGGTCACTATGGTCAGGTCTAACTCAGGTGGTCAAGAATAGAAACATTCTTAAATCTCAAAGGTTAATTGATAGCATATATCGCCCTGGCCAGAAGTCAAAGTTTGGATGTCAAGAACAACAACATTTTATACCCTCTAACATTGATACATGTACATTACAGAAGACTGGACAAAGCTTTAATGTAATAAGTTTAAGGTAATGCCAAGTAACTGTCTCAATTCAAAGTGATCTGTAGAGACTATAGAGACATCCTGGCACTAGAGTGTTTTAGACAGTGCTATTGTTGCTCAAGCTGTTTGAAGGATTACATAATACTGAAACTATCAGTCCATCCCATGATAGACAATTAGATTTGGTATAGAATGTTTGGTCATGTATATTTAATAATCTGCCGCTGAAGATGTACAGCAAGCCACCTTCAACTGCGGCATGATGTGGTACATATGCTGGGTGTAACGGTTCCTGACTACCAGCCAAACAGGACAGCTGACTGTACACACAATTCTAAATAATTCAATCCTGACCACACCAAATCTACATCTAAAAGGCAAATGGTTCTCACAACACTTCACAGCCCGTTTCTGTTCCACAGAGCTTGATGGAATCGCATACATTTCTTCAGGATTGCATGTGGTCATATATCTGATTCATTTCAGTGGATACTTGTTGTGTTGTCTTCCACGTTGTTTTCTTCCAAATATAATCCATTGTTCCTCAGCAATTGCTGTGTTGTCTACAGGATGTAAGTGTAGAAGTGTGAGCTATGTCTGTATGGCCCACTCGGGATATAAATGTTTTCAACACTTCTTGAAGATGGATTCTAATCCATTACATAGTTTATGGACTGACAACTGTGGCACTTTGTGTAAACTTGATGCTGACAGTTTACTTGTAAAATGCTTTCTTCAAATACCTCGCATGCTGTATGGCATCCAGTATCTGACCCGCAGCATGCTTCACATTTCTGTACGGTATATGTGGCCTACTCAATCTCAGTCAACATGCCAACTCATATTTGAAAAACATGACCAGGCCTTTAGGTCACTTAGCTCAAGTGTTTTGAAAGAAGAAGTCTATATACGTATATATATGTTCGGTATTAGCGATAACCTTTATGATAAGTTGGGTACAAGCACCAATAATGTTGATATCATTTAGAAATATGCTAAATAACTTTGAGATATTGGTCATCTGCGATGCTCTTCTTTGGTGTTAACTGTCGATAGCCTCCATGCATTTACTGATTATTAAAGGATTACTTTGTGTCATCATATTACTGTACAAGGAAACAGATCTGATAAAGAAGATCTCAAACCAGTCACCATTTCATACAAGTGTCTTAAAAGTCAGATGTAATGGGAATGAGCTTGAGATTCGTTCATCACAAAGTCAGCCAAAGCATGTAAAATTGTACAGTTTTTGATTATTCCACAGAGAAAGTTCCATCATCGCCATTGCTATAAATTTGTGACATTAGGGTATTGCCATCACAATGTGAGATATTACACGATGCATATCAAAACTTAGCATGATGTTGCTATTACACTGCACAGCAGTATGCATTATGAATACAGTTTAACTCATTCCCCTGAAGACACATTTGAACTCTTCTAATTCAAAGGTTTGAATAGTTCATTATCAAATTTCAGGGGTGAATGAGTTAACATGCCTATATTTTGGATTCTGTTGATCAGAACAACAACTACTTTTGGAGACGGTATACGAGGATAGTATAAATTGATCAGATCAGAAAAAAAAGTGAATTCTGAAATGTTTTGTTGAAATGAACTCGCTTATCTGTTTTATCGATCAGGATCAATGTTTCATTTGTTAATATGATTTATTCTTCGAGGAAGATTTTAATCTGTTTGATAATTATATGATTTCAGTCAGAGACTGTTGACAAGCGCCACGCTGTGATAACATTTGATCATTACCTGAACAAGTTCAAAATCAAGGATCTCACTACAGCCAATGGGGTAAGTGTCAGTTTGATTTCAACCATTATAATCGTATTTAGATTAGAATAAACAAACGTGTTTTATATGAAAACCTGGCTTGTTCCTTTGTCAGTTGAGAAGAGTGTGTAAGATTTGGTCTCATCATAAATGATGCTACTTGATATGAAGGGAAGTAGTAGTTTTATCGGTGACATTGTACCCTTTAAATCTCTTGCTGGAATCCTTATAACATTAAATACATAAAGTATCTGTTGAGGTGACACAAGTGGCTGTAAAGGTTTTAGGTTCTGTTTCAAGCATATATATATCTGTGTTTGTACTTTAAAAAATGTATGTATGTGGCACATACCCGTAGTAAGTTCATATTTTGTTGGTCTCCTGTGGTGATTTATCAAATTTTAATCTGAAGGGTCTTGTAGTTTTATCTGATGGATGTAAAAATCACCTTAACTATATATCAAAAAGCAAAACAGTGATCTTATTACCAGTACCTTTATTGTAGCTAAGTATTACATTATGATCCAGTTGTTGTGTGATTTGGTTAACTCTGGAGTTTTGAAGGACTAACACAGTACTGTCACTTGTACATTATGCATGATCTGTGCTTACACAAACTTCCATTAAAATTTCAATTTTTATTTTGTTTTACTTAAGAAAAAAATTGAAATATGTTACATGTATATTGGTTGTGCATCAAGGATGTAGACTTTAATACAGATGTACAATGTTCTAACCACTGTATAATAACCATATGTTTGGCTGATGTTCAAATGTGTACGTGGCAATGTAACTTGTGTAGAATGATGAATCTGTCTATATCTGTATGTAATGTTTCCTGTTGACGTCTTTTCTCAGGTTTTAGATGTTTGTGAATGTTTGATTGTCATGATTTTAACATTCGTGTATATTTTATATTTTAACAGACGTTCGTGAATGACCGGCGTATACACGACCAGGAGTATGTTACGTTGGAACATATGGACTCTGTTCGTCTAGGACAGGATATCCTTTTTTCTCATTCCGCCCTCACTTCTCTTTGTTTTGACTTCCTGTTCCTGTCTATCACTTTCTAGTTCCTGTCTGTCAACCTGTCCTTAGTAATCCCCAGGCTGGAGAGTTAAGAAAGGAGACCACTAGCTTCCAGGCATGGAAATGTCCTGTTCATTGTTTTTCTATAAAATATTATTATAAAATCTTTATTGTTTGGATTTTATTGTCCTGTGTAGAAGGATTTATGAAAGTCTGTGCTCCTCTATGTAGAATTGTTTATCAGTTATGTAGGACTGTGTTGTTCTGTGTAGAATTGTTTATCAGTTATGTAGGACTGTTGTTCTGTGTAGAATTGTTTATCAGTTATGTAGGACCATGTTGTTCTGTGTAGAATTGTTTATCAGTTATGCAGGACTGTGCTGTTCTGTGTAGAATTGTTTATCAGTTATGTAGGACTGTGTTGTTCTGTGTAGAATTGTT